AATGTGGATTTATTTAGAAAAATAAATGCTTTGTTTTACATAATTTTAACGACACGTGTTTCTGGTCTCGCGACCGTCTTCAAGTAAAAAATTTCTAAAATTTAAAAATAATAATATTTTTTCTAAATAAATTGTTTTTTACAACCAAAAAAACGTTTGTAAAAATTCTTTAAAATATATTATATATATATATATATATATATATATATATATATATATATATATATCATATTATTATTGCGACTAACCGCGTTCCTGGATTTACTAACAGTATTACCCATTGTATGAATACATTTAATTACTTATCTTTAATTCTTGCGTTTGTCATTCATTGGAGACCGAATTTCATCTCGGAATCCACAACAGATATATAGTTGAATACATATTTTGACTATTGCTCAACGGATACAAGATTCAAGAACCCTCAATCTAGAGAGACACTCAATGAGGTTGATGTCTAAGCGTATATAGAGAGAAAATAGATGCATGTTATGAGACTATATCGGATTGATAAAGGTAGACATTGACTTGAAAAGGTACATAAATTTAGCTATCATAAAAAATATCCTTCCTTGAGAATATATATCTTTATTATTTTTAACCAAATACAAGGCTCAAAAATCTCCAAGGCATTTAATACCGTTAAATGAGGTTAATTCCAAGTCGTTCAGCTAGGGAGCAATAAGTTCATGTTTATATATACAGTAGATATAAAAGACCTTGGCATAAAACGCTAAAGATTGTAGCGATCAGGGAAGCACTCACTCTGAAGAATATATATTACTGTATCAACCAAATATAAAGCCCATGATCTATCAATGTAAAGAAAGAGTAAATGAAGTTTATATAAGGGCATTTGAGAGGGGGCGGGAATGACTGAGAGTATGTAGGATAGATAACGGTTGATTATAGATCTGAAGAGGTAAAGAACGTCCCGATTGGGGAAACACTCACTCGGGAGTCTGTTCCGAAATATAACACTTATGGGGTATATATATATATATATTCTCGAATGCTCTTATATAAATTTCATTTACTATTTCTTTACATTGATAGGTCATGGGCTTTATATTTGGTCGATAGAGTAATATATTTTCTTCAGAGTGAGTGCTTCCCTGATCGCTACAATCTTTAGCGTTTTATGCCAAAGTCTTCTCCCTCCAACTATTGGCAAATAGCAGAACAGACTCGGTTCTATAGCCTTTGATGGCAACTGGTCTAGGACAAGGACAACTCTGAATTCAAAACCTGCGGAGGGTCGTTTGGATACCTTGTGGCACGTAGTGCACCAGGAACTGATATGCTTGAGCCTCAACGTCGAATTCGACGGGAGGGGAGTAGTAGTCGTATATATATATATATATATATATATATATATAAAGTCATCCTCAGACAGACTGTTTCGCAGTGTGGCTAGACATCCGGTTGCCTCTAGCGAGGTCAGTCGGAGATTCTGTCACTAAGCCGTCGGCGCACGGCAGGGATGAATGTGAATTTTAGCGTATTTATTTTTAGATAAACACACACAGTGACCGGTAGTGACTCAATTCGCTTTTACCGAAGAGTCTCAGGTATAATAGTCACTGTTTACAAACCCACACCTTTTCAGGAGCCAATATAATCCCATCTCTACCACTACGTAATATATATATATATATATATATATATATATATATATATATATATATATATATATATATATATATTACGTAGTGGTAAAAGATGGGATATTGTATATTTTTCTTATAAAAATATCGATAGTTTCACTAACAGTGACATTCAGTGAATATATTTTTCGACATAAAATGAAGCTATGGTTTCATTGTTAGAAATTTAATGACATCAAGAATTGATTTTATGCTGTATTTACTGGGAAGACATGTTGTGATCAGTTAGTTGAATATTTTTATTAATTGATACACAGTAGTGAAAATTTGCGATATTATAGAACGCAGATTTAGTTTTGTCTATGTGTTCTTATAGTGCCATGTATGCAACCGGGCCTATAATCATCCACAATATGAGAAAATTATAAACTGTCATGTTTGGCATTATGAGAAAGTGTGACGTCCCCCGGTGTCGCTGCGCCAATCGTGACGTCTGCCTAACCTCGCCCGCCGTGCTGTCCTAGTCGCGGCGGCAATTGTGACGTCACCCCATCTGTCTCCGCGCCGTCGCCGTCCTATCCTGTCTTGTGCCGACCAATGTGACTTGGTATTGGTCGTGGCACCAAATGTGACGTTCTTACCTTTTGCTGATTCGGATGAGAATCTGGTTAGATTCGGTATCAGCCTTGTCATTCCCAGCTCGCATCCAACGTCTGGTTACCGAAGTCACTGTTTTTTTTTTATTTCTAGTCTAACCTACCCACGTTGTGATTTGATTTTAGGTAGACGAAATCAATCAGTCGCTGGGCCGTAATGCAAGCTGACTCCGGTCAAGTGTAACACCACACAAGTATATGTAAGAGAAAATGAAGTAATAACTCGAAAAGTTCAAATGTGTTAAAAAAAGGATAAGAATATTTTATATCTGGTTGCAAAATACAGGACTGCATCTTTCTCCCAAACCGCTATATGGATTCGTGACACTTTGTGTTTGTTAGGCGAATCTTAACATCTTAAGTTGTTTGTTCTTTAAGAAACTGGTTTTGGTGTATCTTCAGGTGATATTCGTAAAACTTGTTTTGGTGGTGTGAGTCTAAGTCGTTCTTCAAAAATAAATTGTTCTTGATTAGAAGCTGAGGTCGATAATGCGCGAATCTTAGTCAGCTTCTGCGAGGCGGGCGCAACTCAATTCAACTCAGCTGAGAACTGCGAACTTAAATCAACTGCCTCTCAACTGGAACTGAAACTGCTTTTCACTCGCTGCGACTCTGCTTATATGGACGCCGACCAAAACCGGGGTGGGCTTGTCGGGGTTTGAGGTTCCTTGATAATTCTAAATCCATAATCCATTTCTTTGTTTTCGGTCAGGAAAATTTATTATTTTCCAGTTTTGGGAGTCTTTCGTCTTCCCACCTTCTTCTGTTCTCATATTGGTATCTCACCATACACTCAGAGGGTGTCAACGGGTTTCCCCTCTCTCTCACAGTGGCATCTCATACCTATCCATTCAGGGGGGCGTCAACGGGCCTCCCCTCCTTCTTCATAGTTTAGCTTCGCCTAACGCTCATGCCACCATTCAGCGAATGGGCGCTCAGCGGCGTGGGTGTGGCTAGACTAGCCTCGGTTTAAAAATCCCTGCAAAAGAAAAAAATATACCTCCTTTTTTTCTTTTACTTTTTTTTCTTTTCTTTCCTTTCTTCTTCTCGACCACAAGTCCTTAGACTCTTATCTTAACCGAATCACCTGGACTTTATCAATCGAGACTTTTCTCCAGCATCAAGTGGGTGGTCATCTGATGAGATCGCATTCTGGCGTTAATTATTCTTGATAAAATAATTTTCTTATCATAGCCAGCTCCTGGCACAAAACAGATGCCTTTTTTAAGATCTTCGTAGATAGCCAATGGCTCAGCCTTTTGTTTTTGTAATTCTGCGGTTGATCCAATCGGAAATTTTTCTGCGACCCAATTAATTTTTATCTATTTAGAATTCTGCCCTGTAGGTCACCTGAACGATCTGAAATTTTCACCATTCCCATGGGCAGATTAGCGATATCTTATTCGGTGTGTCGTCATAAATTAAATTAAATCCACGACTTTACTTTTCTCGCTAATGAGAATAAAACCTTTAGCATTTTTTTGTTAAAAAGAATAACATCGCTTGGTGTCCTTTTCGCGATGGCTTCTTATCACCTAAATTTAATTCTCGTCTTTCTTTCTTTCTAGCGACCTAAATAGTGTCACAATGTTTTAGTTTTAATTCTTTGGTTAGATTCCTGTTATTTTATCTTAATTTTGTTTGGTCATTGAGTATTTGTTCGAATTATATATATATATATATATATATATATATATATATATATATATATATATATATGTTTTACCAGAGTTCATATTGCAATTTTTGTTATTATTGTCGCTTTTCTCTGGCACTGCTTATTACTGGTTCCCATTTGTATTAATTTCTATGGTTGGTCGGCTCAGGAGATTCTTGTGGCCTAGCATATGTACTGATTCATTAAGTTTACGAATTTTCCAATAAATATGGCGACACATATGAGGACAATAGTCCGAATAATGTAAATAGTGTACATAATACCTCATCTCAGAAATATAGACAGATACTACTTAATGATGTTATACACACACACACACATATATATATATGTGTGTGTGTGTTTGTGTGTGTGTGTGTGTATATGTGTTTATAATTTAGCCGTGTTCATTTAGATTATTTTACTTTCTGTTTTTATTTCTAACACTTTTTTATCACATATCCCACATTTTGATAAAAGATTTGCCAAAAATGGCGAAATATCTTAAAACGGAAATTGCTTGTAAATGATCTAAATATGGAAGAACTTTCTAAACATTTCCGACTGTTACCGCTTTTAATTAGAGGATCATTTTTATATAAAATTATTGTCAGTCTCGTTACTCAGAATAACTAAAAGCGATTAATGAGTTCTTTTGTAACATATACCTGTATGGTCATATAATATTTTATCTAAATTCCTTGAGGTTTCCCCAATGTTCTCATTGTGGCAATCATGACAGGTAATAGAGTAAATTCTACGTTTGATACTGTGAGTGTGTGGAACAGTTTATTTTTTGATTCGTTCGGTTTGTAACGCTTTTCTGTTTTGGAATAGTTCACTACCTTTTGTACCGCGTTGAAGATGATATCGGCTATTGGAGGAGCTTGAAATATATTTAAATTATTTAAAGTATTCGGATATCCTACATGGTGATCTATTACCGCAATGAGTAATATTCTATGAAAAATGTGACGGAAACAAAGACAAAATGCAAAATAATCTAAATGAACTCGGCCAGGTTATATGCCGAAAGAAAAAAACATAAAAATATTTTAAAATTTAAACAATCCATCGTACCTAGTTTTAATGAAGTCTTATAGAACGAAACGCTCCGAAAAAAAAAAAAAAAAAAATGTCATACATCTTTCCACCAGTATATACATATATATACATCGGGTCCCGTAAGCCTTCTTTGTGTAAACAACGTGAGTGTTTGTTGGGGATCGCTGTCATTTGTCTCTAGTTCCTTTTGCTATTTTTTTATCACTTCCACAACTTCCTTTTATTGTATATTTTCCTGTGTTAATTTTAAATCTCCCGTTGAAGCCTGAAGAGCGGGACCGAAACCGGTTGTTGCGCCCGTTTTTAATATGTCTCGTAATATTAAGTTTTATACTTTTATTTCGATCATTAAATTTTGTACCTACAAAAATATTATAAATTATAAAATTATAAAATGTAAATTATGTAAAAACGCAAAATAAAATACCCTGAGAAAAGCTATTAGTAAGATGAACATCCGTGAGGTGAAATTTTGGTAGGTAGGTTCTGTCTCACTAGGATATATATATATATATATATATATATATATATATATATTAAAAGACATTTATGTTTCTACATCCATTTTATAGATACAAATATTTAAGTAAATGCTCTGTTTACTTAAATATTTGTATCTATAAAAAAAAAAAATATAAACATAAAAATGTCTTAAAATAATTGTCAGACTTTGTCCATTTCATATATATATATATATATATATATATATATATATATATATATATATATATAAAAATAAAAACACATTTTTATGCTCTGTTTATAATAAAAAGTAATAAACAACATTTACCGGCCTGAATGTCCGAGAAATTTTCACAAATCTTTTTGTCTTCCGAAAAGATTCGAACATGTATCCTATACAGAACCGTAATTTAGCTTGACGTGCCTTTACCGATTTGGCCACAGAGGCACTCGGTTGGCGAGATCGAATTTACTGTATTTGAACATTTTCTGTGAAAATTTCTCGGACATTCAGGCCGGTAAATGTTGTTTAATACTGTTTATTATAAACAGAGCATTTACCTAAATATTTGTATTTGTAAAAAAGAATGTATAATCATGAAATGTCTTAAAAATAATTGTCAGACTTTTCCATTTCATAATGTGCGACGTCATATATATATATATATATATATATATATATATATATATATATATATATATATATATATATATAATATTTTAAAAATTAATTTGATGCGTTTCGTCCTTCAGGTCTTCATGGGAATAACTTTGTTGTGTTGGCAAGACTACACATGCCTACGTCAGAGGGGTGCTGGGAATTTTAGATTTATTTAGATTTTTCTTTAAATACATCGGTCAAATCTCAAGGAATCTAAATAAAAATTTATACCTTCACAAACGTGACATTTTACAAAAAAAAAAAAAGATACTGAACACAATTTTGACCTACAAAATGCAACTCTGATCAAAGGAATAAAATAATTCACTACAACATAAATCTGTAAAGAGTGACTTAATCCCAAGTTCTTCCACACTGAAGTTAGGCCCTGGCTCTTTCAACATTTAACCATTCCTGGCAAATTTTCAAATATCAGAATGATGGAGAGTTATAGAAAAAATGCTAAATGTTTTCTATTTACTTCTAAAATTCCCAGCACTTATCTGCATTACTCAGGTGTACACCTACGAAAAATAACAAATTTAGTCTGATGAAGCAATGAAGGTCGAAGCGCGTGACAAGTAAACTTTCTCCACTTTGTCATAATACTTCTCCAATATATGTTCTTCATGTATAAAAAATATATATATATATCGTTATTTCATATATATATATATATATATATATATATATATATATATATATATATATATATATATATATATATTACATTTGCAGCAAGCTTTGTGCTTCTCACAGAAAATATCCTATTCAGTGTTTTTCTCGAATGTTCTCTAAAATACTACTTCAAGTGTATCATTCACCATATATATTTTTTTATAAACCGAATCCGTACAACCTCAGAGTAATTGAATTTTCGTCTCAACCGCTTTGGTTGGAGATTGTAAAAGTTGCCGTCGGAAACAGAAAATAAACAAAAAAATAATGTGACAAATCGCAAAAACGAACGAAAAAGTCAACATAAAATATTGAAAGTGACGTCAATCCGAACACGCTGCGAAGCTTTCATTCAGATTTTAATGCTAAAAGATCCACCAGAACCTGGGAAGAAACTATATCGCTTACTGATTTACCAGCAAGGTTACTTCACGTTGCTAAACTCGAGCCTCGCTATTATCGGGATCAGTTATGAGAAAAAAAATATTTAGTCTAAGAAACTGAGGTATGTATTTATCAAATTGCGAAACAAAGTTTTGAAATCGTTGTAACATACATTCCCTATGATTTTTTTTCTATAAATACTTTCATGGTAACTGTTCCATTATGGTACCTAGATTTTAAGAATTTAAGCGTAGTACTAGATTGCTGGCAAAGTCACATTTTACAGTTGTACGTTAAGCGTTTCCCGCTGACATGTTGTGGAAATATTATATTACTAAGATTGATTCAGTGAAAGCTGCTTAAATGTTTCGTACAAATTTTCTCGTCTTAATCTAGCATATTTATGTTTGTCATTTGTCCTTACTTTGAATATTGTTGCCACATCTGGTTTGGAACTGCTGCTGTTTAATTAAAGTTGCTTGATAGAATACAAAGAAGGATGTGCAATGTTATTAGCCCTGACCTGGCATCTCGGCTTCAGTCGCTTTCCCAACGCTGTAACATAGTTTCCCAGCACCTTTTCCACAAATACACTTATGCAATTGTTCGGATGAACTTTCATTCTATATTCCCCTCGATTTTGCAATTTTAAACGTACTGCTCGTTTGGTCGCAAGTTCTCCTTATTTTACAGTTGAAATTCTTTGAGGTAACCATGTAGACCTATGCTAACATCTTTTCTCTCGCACTTCTTGATTGTATCCTATATCTGTATCCAACACGGAACCGTCATCTAGCCTGACGTGCTATACCAGTTTATTTATGATGTTTCCGTGTAGGATACAAATCTGTAATCACTTCTATGAAAATTTATCGGATATTCAGGCCGGTAAATGTTGTTAATACAGTTTATTATAAACAGAGCATTTACTTAAATATTTCTATCTATAAAAATAACGTATAAACAGAATATATATATATATATATATATATATATATATATATATATATATATATATATATAGTCGACTGTCCCGTCGAATTCGACGTATCAGGGGTCAAGCAGATCAGTTCCTAGGAAGCCGACAGCCCGACAACAGCACATGAGATTTGATTATAGTGGTGAAGTTTTCGTGCTGGACCAGCCACACATTTTGAACGGCCGAATTCATAGACCTGGTGCACTAAGTGCCACAATGTCCCCAAACGACTCTCCGCAGGTTTTGAATTCAGAGTTGTCCTTCTCCTAGACCATATATATATATATATATATATATATATATATATATATATTGTATTTAGACAACACTCCCTCATTTTTTACATATTCTGCAATTCCAAGCGCTTTAGGCTATACTTTTAGCCATTATCAAGGAAGTTTTTATTTTACCTTTTTACATGAATGTATGGGTTGTGTGTATTACAGAAGATTTTTAGAGTTTCTATATTCTCTGTCCCCAGAAAAGAAAATACTTGTACGAACACAAGAAAAATAAAATGAAAAAGCTTAACCGCAGTACCTTGTCTGTCAACTTTAAGGAAACACCCCACCCCAGAAATTTTGTGCCATAAAAAGCTAGCTACAATGCATATCGAAGAGGTCACCTTGTGCAGCTACAAACATTATATAGCGTCATTTTCCTTGATGAAAGCATTCATGGAACCACTTTTGTTGGGTAGCGATCTTCATTGCACATTCGCAAATCTTGGTTACTGAAGAACTGATGAAACCTTTGTGGTGTGGGGAGACGACTACAGTTTACAAAACTTAAAAGCATTTCTACATCAAAGGAATTGAGCGAGAACATTATAACTAAGAGTGTATGCCCGACTGGGTTCAATGAGATCTCGTATATATATATATATATATATATATATATATATATATATATATATATATATATATATATATATATATATATATATATATATATATATATATTGTGTGTATTTAACTATACTAAAACATGAAAACAATAAACAAAAACTAAAAATTCTTGAAGCTATATATCAGGTCATCCCATAAGTTCTGTCCGAATTTTGAACAAAGAAAACAAGTGACCAAATGTTACATTTAATTACCGATTCAATCATCAATGTATTTTCCCTGATTATCTATGACTTCCTTCCATCTATTAACAAGCTTATTAATTCCATTACTGTAAAGTTCTTTTGGCTTTGATTCGAAGAGCTCACAAATGTCAGTTTTAACCTCTTTCTGTGTTACAAAAGCTGTTTCTTCCAAATGATTCTGTAAGCTACGAAACAAATGGTACCCTGAAGGAGCAAGATCGGGAGAATAAGGTGGATGAGGAATTTTAACCCAACCAAGTTCTTCGATCTTTTGTGACGTGATTCTTGCTGTGTGGGGTCGCGCATTGTCCTGATGAATCATCACCCATTTTCGATTCACTCGAGCAGGTCTTTTTTCCTCAAAGCTTGGTTCAAACGCTCTAATTGCTGACAGTATATTTCAGCATTAATTGTTGCATTCAAAGTGGATTATTCCTTGGCGATCCCACCAGATTGAAAGAAGAAACTTTTGCCCATGAAGTTCCCTTCTCGGCTGTTGCTGGGGTCCTTCCCCTTTACCAAGCCACTGTTTACGACGCTTAGCATTTCGATAAAAGATCCATTTTTTGTCGCCAGTCACAAGTCTATCCAAAATAGGCGAGAATCGAGAGATGAGCAGATGTCAACTCGGGATTTGAGGTTGTTTTTAGACAATTCATGAGGCACCCATTTTTTAAGTTGAAGAACTTTTCAAGTTGTTGAAGATGACGATGAACACTTGTACTGTTTGAACTGAGAACCACTGCCAATTCCTCAACTGATAAAGCAGGATTT